TCATAGTTGCCTATGGTATACACATTGTGTATACATAACTTATAGAGAATGAGGTAGAAAATATTTATCCCATATCAGGAACTTCATTTCTTTGTTTAAATCAGGAATTGAGCTAAATTGGGTTTGAATGGCAACTTTAGTTAGTTTGAAAATATTACTGGCTTTAAAGCTTTATGTTGCAAAAGGTCCCTTCCTCTTCTGGGCTTAATATACAAGCACCATTTATTGAGATTGTGCTCTGCTCTCCAGCATTACCCCAGGATTTCTGGGACAGTGGAAATCTTACTTTGACTCTTTCCTAGAACCAATTGGCCACGTGCTGCTGGGCACTTGGTAAATATCCTAAGGTTGAGAATTGGTAGTGAGGACTCACTGTGTTTGGAGCTCATGACTATTCAGTATTCCACAATAGCCTTAGTGTATTCAAAGTTCAGCCAGTGTTTCCTTTCTTTTACAAAGTCCTCTATCCAATGATAGGTCTGTTTCTTTCTTGTTCCCAGTACTTTGCTATCATGACTGTTATTGAACATATATTTAATGATTTTAAAATTCATGGGGTGCCTTAATAATTTAGAAAGACTTGCATCTCCCTAGCCGGTATCCCATTTTCTCAGCTCTCAGTGAGCTCAAAAAGATACATTTTACATATTAACTGTTTTTTTCTTGTCATGATGAGATGGTTGGACATTTACAACCATCTCCATTAAGTAGAAACAGAATTTTGAGGACCCTCTTTTTTTTTTTTTTGGTATTGGGGATTGAACTGAGGGGCACTTAATCACTAACCCACATCTCCAGCTCTTTTTTGTATTTTATTTAGAGGTTGGGTCTCAGTGAGTTTCTTAAGACCCTCTGTTTTTGAAATCATTTTATCAACTTTTTTTCCTGATTACAAGAATTATAATCACTACAGAAAATTCAGAAAGTAAAAAAACATGGATAATACCTTGTGAGTATGCATTTTTATCATTTTGAGTCATTTGTCATGAACTCCGTGGATTGCTTTAATTTCAAAGTATTTGGTGTCCAAGTGAAAAGAATATTGCTTTCTTTACGAACCCCCAACTCAGTATTCGGTCTTTAAAATTCTCTCTTGCTTCTTGGATTCTACTTGTTCTGCACTCATCTTTCACATGTACCTTCTTTGATGCAGAAGATCACCCTAAAGTTACATAGTGAACTTGAGCTCTATAGTATCTCTTTCTTTCAAAATAGCGCTTTTTACAGTATTTGGAAAATAAAGGTGCTTTGAGAATATGATGCCCTCCATTACCAGGGTCTCTGTGATGAGATGGCACGGGCAGTTGACATTGGGGGAGACCCATGCATTCAGAACTTAATTTTTAGCTTTTAATTACAAACCTACTGAAAAATACTCAGGCATATGTGCCATCGTAGGATATCTGTGGAAATGTTCAGGTTTGTGGAAAGGATCCTCTGAGAGAGATACAATGAAACTTAGTGATCTTTCTTACCAAAAGAACGAGTCCCAAGCTACATATTAAAGGGCAAAAGATCTCTCCTACAACAGGCACCAAGGGAAAGATGCTAGGGGAAGAAATAAGGGAAGACAACTGTTGTCACATAAATTCCTTTCTTTAATAATTTATGGCTTCTATCTTCCTTTGTAGTCAGTATCAGTGAATATGTCACATTCTGTTCATATACTCATTTTTTTTTAGGAGTAATCAGGGTGATAGCATATGACCCCTCTATCTTGTGGAGCAGGTTGAGGTGAAGTCCTTTTTATGCATCGCTGCAGGTGACACAGTATTGCGCAGTGTCCTCTGTTGGTCTCAGCACCCCTGAACGATTTCTCATGCACAAAAGGATACTGGTGTTTTACATGTTTACCAATATATTTCATTCTTGTATATGCACTTTTCCTTTTTTATTAAAAGAAATTGTTACTTCAGTCATCTTAGAAGTAATTGAAATAAAATCTTAATAAATCATCATGTAAATTTTATATTTTTCTGAGCATTAACAGATTTAAATGTTTGCCATATAATTTATTGTCTAAGTTGAGAATTTTGTCAACTCCATGAAGAGGATCAGTTTTTTTTTAATTGCTGAGGAATCTCAAGTATATGGAAACTTAAATATAAAAAAACTGACTTGCCCCCATGACAACAAAATTAATAATAGAATTGTTAGTGCCGAATTCTTACTTTATTTACTTTGATTGCACTGTTGAATAAGACCAGGTTAGTATAAGAAGGGCACTGGTTTTTCACTTCTAAATGCAGAGATAAAAATTGATAAACTTATTGTTAATAGCATCCGTTCAATTTTATTTCTAAATGATGATCCCATCATTTAGATTTCTGACCCCACTTCCCCCCCCTCCTCGTTTAGCTCTGATTCTGTTATCACAAATGTTACTCACAGCCAACTAGCCAAATGAAAAGTACGGCTTGATTAAGGATCTCTTTTGTCAATAATTTGTGCCTAATGTTTTTAGCTTTCCCATGGGCTGTTGTAGAAAATGGTAAATCTGGTTTAAATGAAACCTGATCCTGTTAATGGTTTAATAGCAGCTGCCACAGGGTTATGGTATTTTTCAACAGATGCCTCTGTTTCATTTTGTTTCTAAACCAAGTCTTGAGATATTTACATAAATTGTATAAAATATTATCTACACACTTTTGGCTAAATATATTGTAAAACAATCTTAGACTAGACCCTGTCTTTGCCCATTTAAATTACTCACATAAAACTAAAAAAAAAAATCTTAAGTGTATAATCTATTTTTTGAAATAAAAGATTATTTATGTTTTTCAATTCCCTGATTTTTTTTTTTAAAGACCTAAGAAAAGACTCAATCTCTACATCTGGGAATTTGCACAGTGGCTTGGGCAATCTGATCATTTCATTCGTCTTTATATCTGGTGTTATTTACGAAGCACTGACAAATTGCTCTTACAATGATATGTATTACAGTGTCAACTAAAATAACCAGACTAGTCACAAAATTAAATGAGACTCCATTTTTTTTTTTCGATTTCAAGAGATGGAACTTGTAATAATAAGTTGCATTGTCATGATGAGTAGGATTTGTTTTTCTGGAGTGTAAGAGTTTGTTCAACCACTTTTAAGAAAGCATTTATTCCCTGCAAAGCACGTGAACTGTGTACCTGAATGATACAAAGATAAATGACAGTCATGCAAAATAAATGATTATGATGGAAGATAGAAGTAGTAACATAATTGTCTTAGTCTGTTTTCTGTGGTATAACACACTACTTGAGACATGGTAATTGGAAAAGAATAGAATTTTATTAGGCTCACAATTCTGGAGGCACTAAGAAGATAGCGCTGGTTTCTGGTAAAGGTCTTCCTGATGGCATGATAACATCGCGGAGGGCATCATGTACTGACAGAGCCAGCATGCCAGCTCCGTTCTCTGTTCCTGGAAAACCACTAATGCCATCCTAATGACCTCATCTAATCCTCGTTATCTCCCAAAAGTACCACATCCAAATACCATATGAATTAGGCCATTAAGTGTCTAACACATGAACTTTTTAGGGAACACATTCAAACCATACAATAATAGAGGGACCAGCTCAGGCAAATACCATGTTTACTTAATATCACAAAGTTTATTTCTAAAGCTCATAAAATATAAAGTCTTCTGGTAGGCAGGCCACACTTTCATGATTGCAAATTACCTGTGGCTGGAAGGGTTATTTATGTAACTGTATCCAGTGGGTGAATTTTTAAGGGTCAAAAACAGGAGTGCAGACTGACTTTTTACTGAACTCTAAATTGTCTGTAGGCCTTACTGAATGTAGAGTGTTTCTAAACATATAAGCATCCCAATCTTCTCTTGTCTTAATGTCTCTCCTAGGTACTACCCCAAAGGAAAGATGTGAAACCTGGCATAGCTTTCTTATTTGAACTCTTTCTCCTTCGTGGGAAACATGCCTGCCTTGGCCAGGCTGTGGGCTGGGCAATCTTTCCCCTGTGTGATAACAACTTGGATGTAGTGGAAGGAAAATTCAAGTGTCCCCTTCTCCGAGGACATTATGACCGGAAATCCAGAAGTTTTAGGAAAATTGAAGATTTGATTTGCCTGGACTTGGACCACTGGCTGTGCAATCTCTATTTTCAGGTTTGTGATATGATTGTGTAAGTGGAAACATTTTTTTTTAAAAATTTTCCAAAGTTGCTTCTTTCTAGCCTTTATCTTGCTTTCATGCCATTGAACATTTTAATAAGTTTCATCACATGGCAAAAGTAATTATCTCTTAATGCTGATTTCTGATAACATGAATTAAATTAATATGTAGAAATAAGAACTAAAATTCACAAGTTAATGAAAAAGTTAAAGATAATTTAATACAATCTTCTATGTTGTGAATGGACCAGAACCAGTATCAGAGCCCCCTGATTCTCAGCTCACAATCTTTAACTACTACTTCATCTCAGAATTATTGGTGTTTCCTGACCAAAAGTACTTAACCATGCTTCTGTTATGTGTTGGACACTGCCAGTTCCAGGATACAAAAGAGATAAGATGTCATCTTTGCTTTCTGAATGTCTGCCATCTATCGGATGAGACAGACACATGTCTATATAAGGTATGGAAATCAGTAGTAGTAGTAGTAGTAGTAGTAGTAGCAGTAGTTGTGTTAATTATAAAGAGAATTTATATTTGAGATTAAATCAAGAAACGAGGCTTGGAATTTCAAAATAAAAAGGTCATTATTTGTTAGCATTAAAATAGTTTAAATCAATGAAAATCTACTTGCATTTGAAGATAATTCTTTTTCCCCTCCTCTGACATGTTATTTTTTAAAAAAAAATTTATGGAAGAAAAAGTGATATTATGATTGATCTGTAGAGCTTAGTTGGCTGTTTGTTGTTACAGATAGATGTACTTGTCTACTAACTTTCTAACTTTAATAGACAATGGTTAAGATTCTCTCTCTGTATATTTCATGGGGGAGTGAGTGAGTCTTTAATAAGGGCAGAGTGCCTTATGAAAGGTATTTGATTTTCTGATAAGAAGGGCAGAGTAAGTGGAAATTTAGGTACTTCTTTTCCGTGAGAAAGAAAGAGAAGTTCTTATCTGAAAGCTCCGTTTTTCTTTCATGTGAAATTCTAATATATGTGGATTTTTCTCAGTGTCCATTTTCTCAAATGCAAAAAATTTCTGATCAAGTAAATGATAGAGTTATTCAAAAGTGAATAGTTTAAACTTAGAAGGAGAAGAATAGGATAAAGCAGATGATGGAACAGGGAATTGGTTTTTGTAATTCGGGTTTGGAAGAGAATATGAAGGAAACAAGGAAATCCACTGAAATTCTGGTCACTTTCCTGACTTTTCCTCCTGGGTCAGTTAGTGGGAGGAAATCATCCCCGTCCAAGAGGTGCACATGGAGCCAGGGTGTGTGGTTTAGCCTTGGGTGTCACGTTCTCAAGTTGACCTGAGTGTCATTAGGGACAGCACCCAGGCTACTAACCCTCGGCATTATGAAGACGGCTGGCCATAATGGGCTGACTCTAGGTTAGCCCTCGCAGAATGTGTGTAAGGACCCAAGAGAGAAAATTCTGCAGGTGAGATAACCTATAACTCTTTCTCAGGAAACTTTTTCTGCGGTTGCTTATTTTTGAGTTTCATTTTTTATGTCAGGGATGGCTTTCCCCAAACACTTATTATCATTAAAATTTTAAGCATACATAAAAGTTACAAATATTGCATATGCAGCACCCATTTATTCACTATTAGATTCTGCAATCTTGTCATTTCCTCTTCAACTTAGAACATTATTCTTGGAGACAGTACATACTGAATGAACATTTGCTAATTTCCTCCCAGTATAAATGATAGGCAAACAGTGTTGTTAAGAAGGAAATTTAAAAATTATAAATTAAAAGAAACAATCCTAATAAAGATATACAGGGCATGGCAATATCTGTAGCAATTATGTAAATTGGTTAATACAAAATTCACTCTTCGTAATGTAAACAAATGAGAGCTTATAAGTTCTGGAGAACTGAATTCATTATTGACTTTTCTGATTTATCAGATTGTCTCATTGTTGTAGAGAAGAAAATACCACGTTTATATTAGTTTTAATGGTTTTGATAATAGTTTTTATCTCTTAAAAGGTCATTAAACTTCCTTCGCTTTTGGATGATGAAAAAAATCATGAAAGCAATACTCAGCTTGGCACTGAATTTCCAATGCATTTATTGGTTAAAGGAGATAAAGGAAAATTAGGTGTACATGATACATCTGGCCCCTGGGAGAAAAAATCTGAGAAAGATATATGTGCATCGATGGATAATGGAACTCAATCCACCTTACACTCTTCTCAGGGTAGGTTGATTTGACTTTTTAGTAATCTATTACTAATATTTCAAGTGGTGTTATATTAAATAGAATTTAGTAAGAAGTGCATATTCTTTATTAAGATCTTATTTTCTATACCAAGCCATTTAAAAAGAATGTAACTGTTGACAAGAATATTAGCTTTCCTATTGCATTATCTATTGCACAAGGAAACATAAAATTGCTTCATTGAAACAGAAGTTTTTCTCCATGGATTTATTGCTCTTAGAATATTTCTGAAGGTTTTTATCAGGGGTGGGGGAGGTAACTGAACTTCTTTTGGATCTCATTTCTAAATTTTAGTCTTTGTGTGTGTGTGCTCTTGAAAGTATTAACCAAAAAGTAAATATGAAAGATCAAATAGTCTCAGGAAAAAGTTCTCAGGTAATATAGTTGATAATACTTTGCTTTTAAAGAATGATTTTATCAAGTACTAAAGTAAGCAAATAAAGTTTTAAAAAATATTCTAATTTTCAAAAGTTCCATTTATAGAAAAGATATATTAAAGACTGTTATCTTTTGTACTAAAGAATTATTTGTTTTACCGAAAGATTCCAAGTTTCCTTAACAGGATGGATACTCTATCAGTAAGTAATAGTTTGAGTAGTGGGGGACTGGTGACCCACACAAGCCGTGATAGTGTTCATTAGGAGCACTGTGGTAACACTGGACAAGCCCTGTAGTAGCATTTTCATTGATTTACCTTAGAAATTATCAAATATTTTAATTATACTGTATGAAAAATAACACAACATACAATAGTACTTATTCCTCTGATTTGCCATTTCTTACTGCTTGGCCATATATGCTTTATATGTTTTCTTTTAAAAAATCACATATTATGCATAAAGCTCTAAGTTTTTTGTTACTGGGGATTGAACCCAGGTGTACTTTACCACTGAGCCACCTCCCAGCCCTTTTTATTTTTTATTTTGAGACAGGTCTTGCTAAGTTGCTTCAAGTTGCTGAGGCTGGCCTTGAACTTGCGATCTTCCTGCCTCGGCCTCATTCTAAATTTCCTAGTAGGGAAGTTCTGTTGAGAACCTCATGGGCATGGTAGTTAAGTCTCATTGAATTGGCTCTGAAGCAGACTGATTTTACACAAGATCTCTGTTGACTCTCATTGGTCAGGCTTTCCCGAGTGAGGATCTGGGATACACTCATTCTGTGAAAAATGTTAATAACCATGAGCGTATCTTCTGCATGACCCGGGTACTGTGGTTTGGGTATGTCCCAATGAACTCAGATGTTGAAAACTTTGTATCCAGTGCAGCACTATTGGGAGGTGGGGACTTCAAGGCAAGAATGTTTGAAGGTGAAATGAACAGACTAGGAGATCTGTAACCTCATCAGTCCATAGATTGAATGGACTGAGGGGTACCTGTGCAGGTGGGCATGGCTGGAGGAGGTGAGGCAGTAGGGGGCATGCCCTGGCCCTGGAAGAGTGCATCTTCCCTGCAGCCTCTTCCTATCTGTGCTTCCTTGTTGCCAAGAGTTGAGCAGCCCCCCTACCCACTCCATCCCCCTTCTTCCAGGATATTCTCCACCTTCTGGGGCCCAGAGCGACGGAGTTGGCCATCTATGGACTGAGTCCTCAAAACTCTGAGCCCCAAATAAACTTTTCCTCCTCTAAGTTGTTCTTGTTGGTTATTTTGGTCACAATGACACAAAAGCTGACTCAGGAATTCTGCTATAACAACAGAAAATGGAGGAAGACTCTTGGCCATCTGGAGATTTAGAACAAGAAGACGTAGTCTTTCTGGATGGTTGAAGATCATTTTCCTAAGATAGGAAAATGATAGGAAAAAAAATCCTGATTAGGATTTTATTAGATACAGTGGATAGAAAGCATGCCATTGATTTTTACTTAAATATCAAGTTCAAAAGCCAACCGTAAAGCTGATGCATGAGACACAGTAAAATGCATGCATTTGCAAAATAAATATGTTTTTTTTTCAATGTTTGGGGGCTCCGTATGGAGCTCAAAAATTTATTTTAGAATTTGAATTTTGCAGGTGAGTTCTGAGTTAATTAATAATATTTCAGTGCTACTGACATTTTAACCTAATTTTAGGGTACTAAGTAGATGATTAGAAACAATTGCTCTTAGAGCATCTTCCACCAGATCATTTTTCTTTCTAGTTTTCTCCAGGCCAATGTGGCTCTATTTCCCAAGCCTACTGCACTGTGCCATGAACTAGGCTTTCAGAATGCTGCCCCATTCTACAAGGAGGAGGACAGGTGGCACTTCATAAAACTCAGAGATTGACTTGTTCAGTGTGAGAATGCGGTATACCATGAGAGGGAGCATCTTCGATGCATTCGAAAAATGCTTAAGAAAAAAACTGCTTATTCTTTTGCTCAGCTCTGAGCTTGGAGACTGATGTAAGCCTCACACTCAGAGACTGCAGAGGGACCTTCTGTTCCTGCTCCGAACAGATTTATACAAAAAACAGAACATGAAAATCTCTTTGAATACATGTCTTCACTATTGCTTGTATTTATTTATTTTTCTTGGAAGCTCCTAAGCATATTATTAGCAGTTAATATCCCCCGTGGGTTTGTTTTCTAATATATCAGGGCTGTGATACAGTATGCTGTTTCTTCCACTGATATGTTGCTAAGAGATTTAATAATGGGTAAACAAACACAACATGTGGTAATTCATTTCAAATTAAAAGTTTATTAAACTCTGGCTTGATGGCTTTCTGGCTATTTACAATTAAAGAAGCAAACCTTAGGGAAGGGGTGACCACGTGGTGTGTTCATGGCTGCAATGTTTTTATCTGAAAAATGTGTTTATGATCTTCCGCAAGCTGTCCTACGTTGATAGGCTCTGCATGTAATCTGTTGAATCTACTGCCATCCTCAAATCATGCAAAAGTGACTTTAATGTTCACTTTGGAGCCCTTGGTGTGCGAGCACATGCCGTCATACACCCCCTCGCACTCCCAGGAGGTTTCTGAGTTTAATCCCATGGTCGATCATCTAAAGGGTGATCAGTTTTGAAATTAGGTGGATGCCTAAGGCCAGAAAGAATTTATAAAAGGCCAGAAGAAAAGACCTAGGATATAACTTTTGGGTTATTACCATCTTTTAGCTTGTTTTACTTTTTAGGAGACATGCCAGGGAAATATTTGTTATACTTGATAATTGTGTTTTACATATGCCAAGTTGAAAGGACAAGAGTCTCCAGCAAGGTCTATGTGTAAGTTGTGATGCTGAATTCAATTCAAGATGATTTCATTGTGCAACCAATGAACAAGTCATGCTGCTTAATGCTTTGGGATTATAAATCCAAACAATATCCAGTCCCTGACCCCTAGGGTCTTATCCGAGCCCCACCCTGCTCTACTAGGAGATACACGTAAGTCCACAGGTTCAGTAGGTGATGGACGGAGCTCCCGGCACTGAATTTTCATGAGAGATAAGTAAGCCTTCTGGGAAAAGTGAAGCAGATGCATCTGGCTAAGTGTCAAAATTTTAGGTGACAAGTGAGAGAAGCAGTTGTGAGAAATGTATGTATTGGTGATTCAGATTTGTCCTCTAACCCAGTCATCTCATGGTGGGATTCCCAGAAGGGTCAACTGTGTGGTGACATTCTCCAACCTGCTAAAAGAGAGTCATTTCACTGAAATTCTGTATGACATGGAATTATATTGTGTAGCTAGCATATACTATCCTGTGAGACATTCTGCTTTGTCTTTACACACACATTTTATACACATATGCATCTATCTATCTATCTATATACACAGATATATAGATAGATAGATAGATGCATGTGTGTGTGTGTGTGTGTGTGTGTGTATACAGTTCCTTAATCTAAGGTGGTATAGAGGCCACATTGGATCAGTATAAATGAATATAAATAAAAGTTTATAGGTTCATTAGAGACATGTGGGTGGGCTCCCATAAACAAATGGGTGGGCTTTGGGAGGACTTTGGGAAATTCGTTAGATTTTCTTTAATAATTTCACACCATTTAGAATCCTATATTGATGTGATCTGGAAAAATATGTGTTAATTTCACAAGCTTGTCATACAGTTACAAGAAAATCTTGAAGTTCGAAAGGTTAAGTGTAGATAGAAACTCTTTAGGATTAAAGGAAAGCTATGATCTAAGAACATGGAAAGGCACAGGGTATATTTGAGCAACTGTAAAGGACACTGGTCTCCAGTATACCTATTGGGATTGATTTGGGCAAGGAGCATTTTAAGACAAGAAATTCAATAAGGAGGTCATTGCATTATCCCCAAGAAGAGATGGTAAAGGCCTGAGGTAGAACAGGGCTAGAGGATGTGTTCAAGAGGTATCCTGAAGTTGAATTGGTGAGATCTGGAAAATGAATAGTTGTAGCATAACAAAAGACACGAAGGTCATAAACAAGGGCATTTCTAGCTCAGAAAATAGTGTTGCCCTTATCAGAGATAAAGGAACCCAAAAGAGCAGGTTTCAGATAAAAGTTAAACAGTTGATTGGGGAAATTAAGAGGACAATGGTTGGCTTGAAGTTGGAAAAAATTGATTTAAATCTTGGGATAGACACGTTGGTGCCATCTTGACAAGGGTTGGGGCTAAAGGCACAGTGATGAACGAGGTTATGAAGAAGAAAGGAGTGAACCAAATTATAGGAAAAAAATTTAAGGAACAGATAAAAGAGATGGATAAAGGAAATTGTGTAGAACAGTCTGGAAATCAGTGGGAGTAGGAGGTGGGGCATCACAAAACTCATGGTACATACTTCAGAAGAACACATTCTTAAGGGTGTTGATATTGGATAAGGCAAAGGTGTCCTTTTGACTAAATCTTCCTTATCGATGCTTATCATATAAATACCATCAGCTAAAAGAAGAAACAAAGAGCAGCTTTGGATGACAGATAATCCCTGATGTAACTATGATTTTTGACTTTGCAATGGCATGAAAGTAATACCCATTCAGTAGAAATCATCCTTCAAATATTGAAACTTGGGTCTTTTTCCAGGC